GAAATTCAAAACAAACAAACAAACATTTCAGTGATATATTCAACAGTCGAACGTCAAAATGCCTAAAAAATATGAGATACTGAGCAAATTTTAAGATTCTAGTCGTGAAATTAGCTGAAAAGACAACTGTGCTGCATGTAGGGAATTTAGTGTAAATTAAGAACAGTTTCTGGCCTGAACTAGAAACAGACCTCGTGAAATGGGTTGACGAAGACCGTTAGTCTGGTCTAATTGTAACAAGACATCATATTATGCTACAAGCCAAGAAGAAACATATTTCCGACTTCACATATGTGAATTGACTAACTAGTAAATAAAGATAAAAGTCCTCCAGGTTGTTCAGTACCAAACGCGTTAAAAACTGAGCACTTTATATTACCCTCACTCCCAATATATATAGCTGCTGTGCATGTGAATCGCGCTGAATGATTGGTTCTTTGTTCACCTGATAACCAATGAAATTAGCTATCATATACAATCAAGCGCACGCCATTTGTTGTCAATCTAATAAACAAGATCAATGAAAACGGTTCGGTATATGACGGTTCAACAACATAAAAACAGCCCAAACTGATAAAATATCAAGGTGCTGCAAAGTATAATACTAAGTTCAATCCAGAATGGACAAAGAAGTGTTCATGCATCTTGCCTGAATTCTCCAGGAATAATTATTTTCGATGCACAGTGTGTAACCATTCAGCTAGCTGCAAACATCAAGAACTGCGTGATGTTGCAATAATTCTCAGTGATTTCTGAATATATGATTATGAGAGACCATCACAATGGGAAAATAATTTCTTGTAGGTCGAGCAGATTCTCTGAGAATGTTTATTTTTAAACTTGACGTACTTGCATTCATTTTGAATTGTTGTGACCATATGTTGAATGAACTTGTAAGTGCACAAGTTTAGTGTGGATTTTTAACATTCTGTTAAAATTGGCCCCCCAGTGGCACAGCGGTATGTCTGCGGACTTACAACGCTAGAATCCGGGTTTCAATATCCGTGGTGGGCAGAACACAGATAGCCCATTGTGTAGCTTTGTGCTTAACTTCAAACAAACAAACTGTTAAAATTGTTTTATGTAAGAAGTACAAGTCTTTTGTGTGAGCAAGTCTCCTTTCATCTCTGTTTTAACAACCTGCTGAAAAGTCGCCAGAGCCTTCCAGTTAGGTTCTAAAAAGGTGAAATTCGTTTTCGAGGCCGGGGGCTTTGCCTCCTGCCCCCCCCCCCCCCCTACCAGCTTCGTCTAGACCTCGCCTTTTTAATTTTCTTACTCATTCATGGGTATTAGAGTTTGGCAACATTTCGATTCATGGTTCGCGACCCTTCGCTGCAAAATCGCGCTCCGCACTTAAGGGTCAATGGTGCATTATGAAAGTGATGTCAAATCTCACTATTCGATCAGACAAGAGTTGGTGGTGGAGTCTGAGGTATCTGAAGATATCCTTTTGTGTAGCTTTGCGCGAAAACTGAAATAAACTCTGTTTTCTGCGAAAGTAACTGTACCGTGACAATATTATTTAGTCTTTCTCCATTTCAGAACCTAGCTGCAAAAAATTAGATGCTTCTCAAGATATGGTAGGACTGAATGCTATTCGCCATCTCCACAAAGTGCTTGACGATGACGCCAACGGCAATGTGGACGTAGTTGAAAGTGATGAGGTGAGTACATTATAGCTTGTGTTATATGTAGATGCTTGATTAATTATTAGTTTGCCCCAAAATAGAGATTTCGAACAATGTCATATTGCACACTAAAATTTTGTGACAGAGTGATTGTTAGAACTGAAAGCACATTTGCATATATAGGGAGACGAAGTAATAAAAAGTAAACAACTGCAAAGACCATTCTCTTTAGAATTGAATCATCATAACTTTATTTATGTATCTGTTTTCAATCTCTTACCAACAAAGATTACGTAGAGTGCATGTATCCACAACCAGAGGTACAATGCAAAATTTATTTATTTATTCAAGACTGGTTCTATAAATGAAATTTTTCAGTAGTTAAATACCATCAACAATTATCGTCTGACTGTATATGGTTGAAATACTATGTCAGAGGTCAAGAAACGCATATGAATATGAGGCAAAACAATATCGATATCACATTGTGAATTTAGACTATTAAAAGTGTTTCTTGTATATGGCTTTGTTTATTTCTTGCCACATGTTCTGTAACAAATGAAGCTAATTTCATCTTAAGATGTCTTTGAGATCACAAGGTCCACTGAATGACCACTTTTTATTGCAATTGTCTTAGTTTCCTTCTTTTTTATGCTTTTTTATAATTATGAATAATATAAATATACCTGTTGACCTTGTTTATGATGAATGTGTAAACAAGCATAATTATTGTTAATATCCCAGGAGTAAAAGCTAGATAATTATTACAGATTAAGTAGGTGTGCAATTTTACTAATTTTTTAAGAGGCAAATTGCATACCCAGCTTTGCCCTTGATGAAAGTCTACAAGTAAAAGTGAACTCTCAGTTCATAATGGCTATCTTTTTGAAGATCTTGTAATGCACTTTTGATATCTTAGATTAAACGTTTTGCAGGTTAGTTTAAGGAGACTGCATTCCTCTTGAAAACGCGGAAATCAGGCACAAATTGGCAAAAAATGAGCAAAATCTCTGCGAGGATTTTTATTAGCGTTTATTCTCCAAGAAAATTATTGTAAGACAGGGGAAGTGGATTGGAAGTGAGAAGGTGTAAAAGTCTAGTCGAGAAAATTGTCAGAAATGGCAAAGCAGTTGCGTCACTTCTTGTTCAAAGCAGCCTATTTCACAGTGGAGATGTGATCAAGATTCCTACTGTCTTAATTTGGTAAACTTAATGCATTAAATTTAATAATAATCTAGATTTTTGATTCTTCGGAAAACTATATTCTACATCAGAAAGTAAGAAATATCCTAAAATATATTATTTGAGAAAACCTTCTCCAATTCAGACTTAAACACTTGTTCTAACCCTAGTATAAACGGGAAGTTAAATGGTGTGAATAAAAAAAGCATGAAACTTAAATAACAGCAATATCTTTATTCTCTGCATTGTTGCTGGATATTTTATAACTGTATATTTTGGTTATTATAGGAAACAAGTTAAAATGCTGAAAATTTTATTTAAAATCTTTAACTTGTAGAATTTTGTTGTGGTCTGAGTTTTGTTCAAACTCATCTATTAGGTCGTCAAGAAATTAATGTCCCGTTTTGGAACACTTTTATTAACCCCCCCCCCCGAAAAAACGTACATCACATATAATAGTTAAACGAACCACCTAAACGCCTATATAATGTGTAAAGTTTAGTATACTCTAATCTTTTATAGTCATGGCTTATGACAAGACACACATTCAGCATGTAATACTGTTTGAATACAAGAAGGGAAACAACGCCTCTGTAGCCACAAAGAATACCAAAGAAGTTTATGGAAATGTTTTGAACGTTCGTAAGTGTCAGCGATGGTTC